AGTTTCACAAGTATAGTCGCCAGCAACCAGTTTGGTTTCCAAACTTCGTACAATTCTACATATATTTGAAATTTCGTATCTTCTATTAGGATCCGAAATTTTCTTTAATATATAATATAACAAAACAGAAAGTATAAACGATCTATAGAGCACAAATTTTGTCTGTCGAAAGAGAGCTCTCTACGAAATCTCTAATTAAATTAAAAATTTACATAAAGAGGTTTTCAAAAAGTAGTAAACAACAAAAATTATTTTTTATATTATTTTAATTAATTGAATTTTTGTTTCGAGTATTGCCAAATATTTTACCCATCATCAGTGGTTTTGGAAATAATTCTTGTATTTAATTATTCGTAAAAAATTTTGTTTTTTGAGATTGCAAGTACCAGAAATCGAAGTCGTGCCCTGCCAATTTTGAAACTCAGAGTCCGCGCACCTTAACAAACTGACTCAAAGCCGTATTTGGCTTTTATATTCGCACATTTTTATTAACAAATTCACTTGCTGTGTCAAATATTAATATCATATAGTAAATTTAATATAGTATATATAAATCAATATAGCAATATTAAAATGTTCTTTTAATATATTAAATTAATAATCTTATCGTGAAATTTATTACAAAATATATGGAATATTTCTTTTGTGCTTTCTTTAAGAAGAAATTCAATATAAAAGTTCAATTCCCTTGGCTAAACTTTTGGTGACACACAAGCTGAAAAGTCAACAAAACCAATTCCAAGTAACCACAACAAACTAAAGTGAACGCTTCAACTTCTATGAGTAACTGCGTCTGCAAACTAAAGGAAAACTTTTATTTTCCGATGCCTAAGGATATGTGTTTTATGAGCGTTTTTTCGTCGCAGAATTAAATTGTGGTTTCTTTTTCTAATTTTATTTCTGTGCTTTTTTCTGCATATGCAGGATTATGAATTCAATGTCATTTCACACGCGTTCAGCTAACTTTCAACTTTTTTGTTGGCCTCTAAGACATGTTCATTAACATTCATGCATCCAAAAACGTGATCGCCACAAATCCTCCACTCGTACACTGGGATTTCGCAAACATGCTTAAAGTTTTGCTTTTCCATTTTCCATATATACAAAAGTTAGTTTAAGGATTTTTTGCATTTGCTTGTATGGAATAGTAAATTGTCCACAAATCAAATTAAAAAATAATACAAAATTCAGTTTCTATTCATTTACAAGCAATAATTTATGACGATGCATTGTTAGTAGAGGCAACAAAGTTAATGTACTTGTGGGTTATTTGCTCTTTTTTTACTAAAAGTCCTTAAATTTCAATTTAATTTGTTGCTTATTTATTATGTGTAAAATGAAATATTTTAAAATTTTAAATGGTCTTCAAGTTTTATTATTTTTATTTTTATTATTGTTTTTTTTTTCTTTATTGTTGTTAAAAGTTCTGTAGTCGTCATTCATCATATTTATTATTTTTATCTTGTCTCTATTTCCCCACAGTTACTACTCGCAGCTGCGTGCGCTTTTTGTCATATCTCTGCGACGGCGGCGACAAGTTGGAAGGACAATGGTTATGGACGAAACAATGGAGAAATTATGGTACAACAGAAACAACTGCAACAACTAAAACAAGAGAACCGTAATAATGTGCAACAGCTAAATGAACAATGGGGGTCTTCATTGCAACAGCAGGAACAGCAAGAACAGCAGCAGCAACAACAACGACAACAACTACAATTACAGCAACCAGAAAAAGAACAGCAAATTAAAGAGCAGTACCACTATGACGAACATGCTGATCCCTATGATTTAGCCAATTTATGGCGTCTGCGGCAGATATATGAATATTTTAACAACGAACTTGGCAACAACATAAACAAATATAACTATGAACACCAACGATTACAACAACTACAGCACCAGCAGCAGCAACAGCAACAGCAACAGCAACATCACATACAACTCTATGATCAAGATAATAAAAATGAAAATGACAATGGCAACAACAATAACAATAACAACAATGACAGTTACTTTTTCTACAAACGTAGCGTTGATGACGACAACTACGGCAACAATATAAATAGTAACGGAAATCCCAGTAGTGGCAGCAGCAATAACAACAAAGATGGCATCGACAATGACAGCAACAGCGACAATGTATATAACGAATGCAATTACAGCAACAACATAGGTAAACATACACAAAACACTCCCATTTGCGCGAGGAACGGTGTTATAGTCCGTACGGCAAAATCGCATCAGGATGCCAGAAATGGCTTCCGTTTGCAATTGTCTGCTTCAAATGAGTATGTTAGCAATAGTGCTAGTAATAATAACAACAACAACGATAACAACAACAGCAACAGCAATAATTACAGCAACAACAATAGCGACATTCTAGTTGACAGTGACAGTAACATTAACAGTAGCAGCGACAATGCGAACCACTACGTAAACACACACAATGACATAAACAGCAACAGCAACAACAACAACCAAAATGGCGAATATGTCCACTCGATTTCTACACGCAGCAAAAGGTAAAATTTTTAACAATAAAGTAACCACAACAACAACAAAACAACAATAACAATGATGTAGCTTGTTAGCGTTGCCATAGGGATTGAGTTTTGTTTAAATGGTTGGAAGCGGGTTGAGTAGTTTACAGTAGTTGGCAAAGTGATTTTATTGTTTTAAAATGCATTGTCGGATATAATTTAATATGTCTTAAAACTTAAAATTAATAATTAATAATAATTAATATTTAATTAATTATTTACATTTTTTGTGCTCCTTTTATTTCTTCAATTTCCAACTATCTTCATAAGAGAGTCATCCTATGTCGAAAAAAAAAATATAAAGCTTACTCTAGAGACCCATTGCAGGAAAACAGTGCAGGATAAATAAAAAAAATTCTTGAAAAAAATTATTTCTAAGATAAACATAAAAATAAAAATAAACATAAAAACTTTTATAAAGATTTTTAAACAATTTACAAAGAATGATAAGAAAATTTTTCTTGAATCAAAAATTTAAACAACTAAAATTTTTGAATACATTTAAAAATATAAAATCATACTTATTAGGCAAATTCAATATTTATAAAATCAGAATATTCATATGATTACTTATCATTTCTGAAAATTCATAAGATTTGTCATTTGTGACAGTATCTATATGTTATCCCATAATCAAATTTATAGATATATACACATATATTAAACTCTTTTGTACTACGTACCTTATATTTTAGTATTAATTTAAAAGTTAATTTAAGTTGAAAAAATAACAGGAAGCCACAAACCTGAAGCCACAAATTGTCTATAAAAAATCAAACAATTGGCAACAACAACAATGTTGCCTTCCGTAGTAAAGAGTATTTTTATGTAAACATATCATATAAGTGGAAAATATAAAAAGTTAACTATTCATTGGATATGTTTTATTAAATATTGAATTGTTCAATACTGTTGCAATATTATTATAATTTCAATTAATATTATTTTTTGAACACTATTATTTTTGTTTAGTATTTTTACAATTTGCTATACAGTAACAAAATCTAAAAGCACAATCATCAAAGGCTAAAGGATATTCATAAACACGTATGAGTATTAGCAATACATAGACCCACTAACACACTCATACGTATGAACAAGTATATGCAATGGTCTCATTATGCGAGCCTTAATGTATGCATTTTCACATGTGCTTGGATGCGTTGGTGAAATGCCTGGACCACCTGTAGTTCTCAGTATGTTAGTACGTAGATGCAGGTCGCATAATAAACCCTACAGGATAATACGCCATACATTATATTGAAATAATGCTTCGGCCCTTGGAATACTAATAAAATAAAAATTAATGCGAAACTATTGTTACTATTCCTTGCGGGAAAAAAAATAAATAATAAAAAAATTGTGTAAAATTTTAATGTTTACACCATTAAAAAAATTGGTTTTTGTATGTTGAGTTCATTTTATTCAAATTATGAAAATTACGCTGTGCAAAGGAAGTAAATATACTTTAATGGAATTTTAATTTTATTTATTTGAATAATAATTTTTCCAACAATTGCATAAATTATTTCATGTGCTGACTTTAATTGCAAACTCCGATAAAATAAACACATTTAATGTTTATTGCTTTTGTTAATATTTCTTTAAAAAAAAATGGATTCAATTGTTTTAACGGCAATTATTTACATAAACTGACTCAATTCAATTTCACAAAATCCTGATTAAACGAACATTTAGGGAACTTTAGTGGTTATATGACGTTTTCCCCACTCAAACTTTAATTCAAATAGATTTACATTAAAAAATTCAGTTAATTATTTAATTTAAACTAAATATTAGTTTTAATGTATGGAAATGTCCTAATAATGTGAACATAGTCCCAATACTTTAATGAAATACTAACTACTAAGCACTACTGTTTCTTATTTATACAATTTATGTTTTTCCATGGACGAATGCTTCCATAAACAAAGCCGTCAATATTCCTGATCTATTGTAAAGACTTTTCAATCACACACATACGTTTTATTAAGGTTCTCTACTTCGTCTTCAATATATATTTTCCCCAAACTACCTAAAACATACTTACCAATTAGTATCCTTGTAAATGGTTTTGTTGCCACTTGCTGATAATGTATTCCTTGTTCATATTCTAACCATTTCAATCATATCAATTTAATATATATGATCCTTCTTCGTCACTTTACTATATAATTGGGGTTTCAATTGCACCAAATTCGATAAAACGAGTTGCTCATTAGTATTGAACAATTTATTCACTAGTACTCATCTCTCATATATCAAAAACTGCTTTATTTGCTGAAATTAAAGAATTCAACATATCTCGGGAAAAACGATTTTCATATAATACAGATATATTTATAAAAGTATTTTTTATTTCCAGTGCTGATGCCTTGAACTCCTTACTTTTACCAAGTGTTTCTGAATATGAACCAAATGAAAATGAGTTGGAAGTTGATTTACCCTATGGTATACAAAATGTACGAAAACGCAGAATTCGAGGTAGTCCAAGCTACGAACATCGCGGCAAGGGTGTAAGATTTATGATTTCATTTACCCTTATAATATAAATTCAATTAAATTTTTAACTTTTTTAGATAACGTATCAATCTTTGTGCCCAACTAAACGTATTTCAATTCCTTTGGAAACATTGGGTTATGAGTACCGACCAAATCATTACATCGAAGTCACATGTGCTCACAACTACTCACCAGTCTATAATCATGACTTTAACAAAAACAGAGTAAGTTTTGGTTAAGACGTTCTTATACTTAAATCAACTCAAAATGATATGAAATTTAAACATTATAAAATCTTGCCATTATCAGCAAACAATGGATATACTTTTATTAAATCTCTTTTATTAAAATTCTGTAAGAAATAATACTTCATTTTAATCATGTAGACACTAGCAGGTCTAATATAAAAACTACTTATGAAAAATTTTCTTCAAATAAATCAGTTTGGGTTTTGTTGATCTTTATCTAAATCAGGTTACCGATTACTATCGTTCTATTCTAATTAAAATTATCTATTAAAAATTTTGTACAGAATTAAATTAATTATGTTAATTACTATTAATATTATAAACAATATTCTCCACAGATTTGTTCAGAAGCTGGGTTTTCCTGCATACAGCTCAATCGCACAATACATTTAATACGACGCAATAAAGTCTCGTCTATGGAGTGTTGGGAGTCCGAAATTCGTATTGTGCCCTCTGGTTGTGAATGTATGTGGCCAAAACATAACTATGGAGATATTGTAACCTACCATGATGCAGAGAAACGCTTTGATCCACTGGCAAATGTGGAGCCCAATGCTGATTACCAAGTCGGTGAGGGTTTTATGCAAATACCGCGACAAATTGAATTAGTTGGGCTTGACGGAACACGAAGGGAGGAAACAGATGGCATTGGTTTTGAGGCATATGAAGTAAATTAACAATTGAATAAATAAATTAGTGATTATTAAAATGTATTAAATTTAGTTATGACAAATTATGTAAAAACGTATTTAGATAGTAAATAATAATAAATTATATTATATATCTGAGCTGACGGCAGTATAGAAAAAGTATATTTGTGAAAATAGAAAAAATAAGAAGCAGATTTTACAATAATTTTACGATGTAAGTAATTAAATAAAATATTTTAACAATTATTTTTTAATTGAAATAACTATTCCTCTTATTGTTCTTGTTGTTGTGTTGTTTTTTCAACAGTAAATCAAGCTTAACTCAAAAAGTTAATAAATTATTTTATCAAACCAATTTAAAAGAATAAAAAATAAAATCATTTAAATTAAAACAAAAATTCAAAATATTTAAAATACTTATGTTAAACAAAAAAAAATTAAATATATAAATTCTTTCAATATGAAGCAGCAAATATTTTATTTTTATTTGTTTAAGTCACATGTACAATCGAAAAAAAAAATATATATGAAAACATTTAAATAAAGCTGGCCATAAATTAAACTGACTTTAATGTTATGCATTTTTAATTTATTTAAAAGGCTTTTAATTAAATTTAAAAATTAAAATTAATTTATTTGAGTACATAAATAAATAATAATGCGATTAACAATTGTGCATTAACACCAATATTTAAGAATTATTTAAAAAAAATTGATTTTTAAAAACGTAGTACAGATGTCGCAATTTACACCTACGGGGTCTCATTTCACGCATGTCTGGAGGTCATATTTTTAGCGCCAAGAAACATGAGGCTTTGTTCTTATTCGTTGACTTTAACTTCTCTGGATGGAATGATATTCCTACAACACAGTTACTTTATTGGATAAATAATTTTAAAAGCTGATCTCACAGTAGTGTGACCCTCTTAAAAAACTGGAGATTTCGTCAGATTCAGATTTCGGTACTTATCAAATGCTGCCTATCCAATTATAACGGAATTAGACAACATCTCTTCAAAGGGCATAATGACGTTTTTAACTGCTACTTGTCTAATAAAATAAAGTGGATTTGCCACAACAACCCTCAAAGGTGGCAAGCTCTCAACCCGTTTAAAATCTAATCTAATCCTTAATGATATGTAAGGACATTTCTGAATATTTTTAAAATGACAGAGATTTTAATGTAAGTTTCTTTTGAAAAGATACTCATTAAATTTTATATTCTCAATTAAACTAGCATAAACATTCCGTAAAAGTTTTATATAGGGCTATTTTGTATTATCATAACGATGACACGCAGGCCACATATGGCAAGATGAAATTCTCTGTGGCACCCTATTCTGATTTATTAATACTAAGATCACAGTTAAGTCAAAAATGTAATCATCTACAACTTATTAGTATCTAGAATACAAATGCACAATCTTTTCAGTTTTATTAGTATCCAAAAAGAGAAATATGTAAAAGTTCAAAAATCAGTTTTAATCGAAAAATTCTGACAGCAAGATGTCTCAAAACAATAGAGCGAACACTTTATCGAAGCCATATAAACTGTTTTCATCAACTTACATATACTGTTCTTTCGTTAATTTAAAACAGCATGGCCGCCAACGATGCTTGAAGTAAGTCTTTAGATCAATGATTTTAGGTTAACACGACATTCCATGGCTTAAGTATATCAATATAGCAACAATCACAATAGCTACAACAACGACGACAATCCAGTGACAGCTTCGTACACCGATAGAAACATAAACGCACCACCACAAAAATTGTCGCAATCGTTAGGACAGTTGTGAAGATATTCTCAGGTGTTTCAGTAATATCAGCAGCAGCAACTCCTAAAACTTAATTTAGTCTCAAACTTAATTTAGTCTCAGGCGTCTCAAACGGGCGCATCGACGGTACAACAGTAGTCACTTCCAATCTCGCATCAAGTGACACTGCACACTACGGTCCAATAACATCTTAGGCTCCATAGCCAATGAGACATGAGAAGGCACGGACTGTTTCATAAGTGACGCGATCTGTATAAATAAGCATTTTCCAATGAATTTAGCAGAACTTTATGATTGACCCACAAGTCTTTTGTTGATTACTTTTCGAATCGTGGTATCGCTACTACTCCTTCCCTAGGAAGAGGGTACTGTGACGACAGAAGTTGAGATGCGTTGAATATTTTTTAAATAGTTTTTAAATTATATTTAGAAAAAACAGATTAAAGTCTTTTGCGCTTCCAATTTTGAGAAAAGATAACTACTACTTGTACTAACAAAATAAAATAATTTACATTGATAATAAAGACATTTATGGAATATAAAAAATACTTATATACATTTATACATATTTTATAATAAAATTAAAAAAGTAAATAACTTATCAATAAGTTATTTACCACAACCTTATCAATAACACTTGCTTAACTATGGCATGTCATCACTGCAATTCAATTTATGTTAAAACGTCAATTGGTTTTTCAACTGATTCTTTAATAATCGTTTTTGCTTGTTTATAAATGTTTTCAAAAATAGATTCTTTTGTACCCACAGCATCTATTTTAATCCAATTAATGTTTTCTTTTGCCATCATATCTTCATATACGCTTAAAACTTTACGTTGAAACTGAAGTTTTTCGTACCTTAAATATTAGGCATATTTATTGAATGTTAGTTTATTTTTATATATTTAATATACCTTTCGTCTCCAAAATTACCACGATCTTGCAGTTGTTCAATAGGAGCATTCAAATAAAAGACAGCATCAGGCCGTAAAAGACCCTTCTCCATTGAGATACACCAATCATAATTCAAACCTATATTAGATTATAATGAGTTTCGATTAAGTATTCTATTTTTATTTACTCTCTATTAAATACCTTTAGCTACACTGTACGCCACACCTGAGTATGAATACCTGTCCACAATAAATGTTGTACCAGCTTCTAATAACTTTTTCATTTCATTTTTGTATTCCCAACGATTTGCCGAGAACAGTAAATGAATGGTCTCATCGCTTAGTTCTTGTTGATTTGTTAAATAGGAATTAATCACTTGCCCAATGGTAGATTCACGTGCTGGAAATGACATGTGTTTCACTGGGTGGTTGTCTTGCAACAGCGTGTTGTCTAAATAAATTATGCATAACAATTAAAAGCTGGTTATTACGAATATTTTGCTTTAAATGTTTCTTCTTGCTTTAAAAACCTGGAACAAAAATTATAAATTCTAATTACACAGTAAACGGCTCTGCGTGGATTTTCCTGTTCGGTCACAGCCTTCAAACATAATTAATGCTCCACGTCTCATATTTGCGACTTAAGTTTCAAATCGAATTATATATACAAATAATTATTTCAAATAGATATTCTACTTTTCCCGGACAATTTAACAAAAAAGGCGCTCAAACGCTCGACAACATAACATATGTCAAATGTCAAGTTAGACGTTTAATGACGATTTGTAAGAAATTAGTGCTGCCAAGTTCATTAGTTTCATGCATCATATAATAAAAAAATGTTGACAGGTCTCAATAAATAAACTTGTAGTAGATTATGCAAGAATTCAATTCTAAATCTATGCCGTGCATGTATTAAAAAATATGTGTTTATTTGATCTTAATAAATATACAAGCTTGTCACATACTCTGCCACAAAATTGATACAAAAATTTTAATTTCAAATTTTTATCCGCGAATTCGTAAATTTGAAATATGCCTGTGTCAAATATTAAGGTTTTATAACTGCATAAATTACTGTCAACGGAAACAAAAACTTATAAAGAGTTGTCTTTCGTAATTTGTGTGATTTTGTTAGTTACTTATTGTGAATAATTAATATATATTTTTATACTTTTTCTTAACACACAGTTATATGATAAATAACATTAATGACTAAAATTCCTAAACATATTAATATTATGCTCTGATAACCTCGGTGGTCGTTACTCATGTACGATCTGTATCGAAGTCATACAAATACAACTTAGTTTATAGCTTACTTTTAAATAAATGAAATAATTAAAAAAGTTCCTATGGTGTTTACTCTCGATTTGTCAAATTTTGTTACCCAATTGAACGTTTTAAGACTAATCTAACATTTTTGTACTTGTGTTAGTGGGTATTATTATTATTCAAAAATTCATGTATTGAATCAAAGCACACATTACTTGCCAAGCCATATAAAACAGCTGTTATTTTAGTGTAATCTTGCTACTCTATCAAAATATCTAGAGTGTTGTAAATTAATCTCAAATTTTTTACATTTTTCACCACATTTACTAATCGGATATAAAAAACACACTAAAATTGAAATCGAAACCACCATTAGGTTTCGAGCACAAAATCTGCTATTAAAAACTAAATTATTTCGCAGTAATAACCAAGCAGGAAAAGCCAGTGCGAGCGTTTTCCAATAAGCTAAACTTGCCAGATAAATTACATAAAAAATTTAATCCTATAAATAACAAAACTGACCAGTTATTAATTAACATAGGAACGAGTGAAAGTCTTATGCAAAAAGAATGGATATCTTTGTCAAATTAAAATATTTAAATGTTTAAAAAAGTATAAAATTACATATTATAATATTATATTATTAATATGTATTTAATACATATTATTTTTAAATATATGTAGACTAAAAATTTTTTCTAGAAATCACCCTGTTTGATGATGGAAGCGGTAGCCACTTCAATATGCCATCACATTGCGTGAAAAAAATCAGTTTTGATATGTAGTACGGACATAAATACAATTTCGGGACAATTTATTATAATATATAAAAACAAAGTAAATAGTGTGTGAACTGTACACCAAACTCATAAATATTTTAATAGCTTCTTATTAAACATAATATTATGTGATTTAGGATTAAACATTACAAAAAATAAAAACTGCAAATAAAAAACTTCAGAAAATTTCTGCAATTTGCTAATGTAAAGTATTTGTCTCAGCATACGGAATAGCGTATAAAACAAACCACGCGATAAGCGAAACGAGTAATGTGAAAGTGCGATAAACGTAATAGAGCGAGATGGGTACAATGATGTAAACAAGAATTTCGTGTTAAAAAGAATTTGCGAAAACAATTTTGACAGCTCCGGTTATGCATAGGGCGAATTCACGAAATGTGCTACATGTGAATTAAAAGCAAAAAATTTGTAAATCCTGTACAGGGCTTACAGATAATATTTTTATTAAAAAAAATGTATGTCTATTGTGTTTTTGTAATGCCTCCTCTTTTTAGTAATGAAATTAAATAATATAATTTATACAAATATAGTTGTTTCTTTTTAAAATTGTTGAAATATTAATAACAAAAATTTTAGAAGTAATATTTGACAGTAACTGTCAACTCTAAAAATACACTCCCGTGCCACAAAGCCTGAAAAGAGAAGTTATAAATTATATAGAATGCCGCAAATATGAAAAGGAGTAGGATTTATGTAGAGACGATATATTTGCGACGTATGGATAAAATTTTCTGTCGTTAAATACAAGAAGATGTATAATTCAGTATATGAATTTATTTTAAAAAAAGAAAACTAAATATGTAATTAATATAGTGAAATGATACTAAAGTGACCGTTTACATATTAGTCGTTAACTAATGAGTGAGAGTCCTTTTTAATTAAACCAAAGAAAACACTTAATTGTATCAGTTTTTTAGAGTTTGATAACTTAATACATTCATTATTTATAGTGTTATTGTATATGAAGTGAAGAAGAATTATTAAATACAACTATGTGGAATTGGTAGAATAACTTATTGAACAAAACTACTAGCCAGCTTGAGTATACATTTTCGACTCTAGAAGCAGTACAAATGAATTCCGAAATCCAGAACATACTATACGCACAAAGGTTCCATGAACTGTTAGAGGCATGTTTTCATTTTTTCATTATAAAAAATAATATATAAAAATATATCTTTGTAAAGGGTTCAAGCTATAGTCAAGTCTAAGTTATTCAGCCAGTACTTGTTCCACCTGAACATTATTGACACTTCCAAGGCATTTGTGGCTTAGACGGTTCATACCAACCCAAAAAAAAAAAAGAAAAATCCAAAAAGCAATATTTTTCCTGGTTTCGAGAAGAGTTATAACAACATACCTTTCAAGCCATCATCTAATCACATTTAATATATAATTAGTTAAATGATCTGTCAATTTATTGTATATACAGATTGTTAAACATTTCTTGGAAAAGTGACGTTGAAATAGATAAAATTTTGTAAAGTACTGACTGTTTTTTTTTAGTTATGTATATAGTAACTAGTTAGTTATTATTAACTAGTTAGCTACTGAAAGTCAGCTCTGCTATGCTTCCAAAATAATTTACAATAGCCTAAAATTTACTACATAGTAGTGTAAAGTAGAACTTTAACGTTAGTGTTAATTGTTTTCTCTTTTTTACAGGATATGGATTGAGTATATCACATTCCTTTTGTGGTCTGTTAATATATAATTAACTAAAATGCTTATTGAATAAATTGGAATTATTTAAAGAATATATGAAACCTTTTGAAAACTGCATATTAATATATTAAAATTAATAAATTGAAGTAGTCCATGCCAGGTAGTAATAATTTCTTTATTTTTGTAGTTATAATAATGTATAATAAAATATTTTTGTAGGTGATACTGTATTGAAAAAAACGGAATGACTTCATTGTTTAGAGTCCATATATAAAAAGTCTTTATAAAAAGTAATATTAAAAAATATTAATTGTTGCTATAAATATAATGTCTAACAATAATCCTCATGGACATATAACTCAACCACCCCAAAATCCATCATGGAATCCTCTACAGGTAATAGTTAAAAAGTATTAAATGAATAAGTGTTGTTGTTTTGATGCTACATTGTAACTAATAAATCCACAAATTAACACATCGCTGTCTTTTCTTTAAAAAAAATGGTATAAAATCCTTTTGTATATTCTTTAGATACCATCATACATACCGAGGCAGCCACAATTGGCTCATATGTCCAACGAACGTCCAATGGTACGTTCACCATTGACATGGCATGCACCGGCTCCGCCACCGGACTCCATATATAATTTCATGTCAGCTAATCATAAAAATGTAATTCAACAAGCTTAACTCATTTTACAAAACAAAAAAGATTTAAAATTTTATTTGTAATATTAATAAAACTAATAAAAAAAAATGTTTTAAATTGCAGTATCCTTTTTATGCTATGGAAAATACTTTAAAATTACATATGTTAGTTTAAATTATTGTCACTGGTTATTTGTTCAACTCACCTAGTAAATATGTACTGATAAATCGCAAAAAAAATGGATACTTCAATAAAATAAAAAAATGCATGATCTTTTTGCTGAAAGCTTAATATTCACCTATTATTTACCTATTACCTATTATTTAATTACACTGCACAATTTCCTATTATTTCATTCAGTTTCATAGTTTTAATATTAACACAAAACTATTGCCTTAATTTTTTTTTTCTGACGCTGTGGCTTGTCTATAGTTTAAATTAAGTTTAAATAATTATCATTATATCAAATAAAAATATCCATGAAGACCACAAATAATGCTGACTCATTATAGTTGGAGCATCAAATAAATCCACTTATTCAGCCATATGTGCGTGGTCCTTCGCCTTTTGATTCAATGGACTTATCTTTACAATCGGCACGAAATGCTGCATCGCCTTTAAATAAAGGACTGCATCCTGGTATGGGGCAGCATGATTTTGGGCATAAGCAAGCTCAGCAACAACAATTAGCGCTTCATCAACAAAATCAGGCTCAGTCCCTTCAACAACAGCATACAACACAAATGCAGCTCACACAAAGTTATCCCATGTTAGTATTATTATTACGTTATATGCAAACCTTTTTTAATGTGTTTCATAAATTTCATAGACATAATCTCTCCACAAATGCATCAAATGCTTTAACACATACGCAACAACAGCAAACTACACAGGCTTCAATAAACTCCACTGGTCCACAACATTCTCACAGTTCTCAAAATGCTGCTACTGCGTCGCCATCTACTAATTCGCCTTCTACAAGTTCAATTGGAGCTAATGCTAAATATATGAACACAAATGGTGGCGATCGAGATTCTATGTTACCACCACCTGGTATTGGTTCAGCAAGCAGTGGTGCATCCCTATCTGGTAACAATAATAATGGCACCACAGGAACGGGCCCCAACCCTATGCATTATTTGCGCGATGCAGAAGTACGTCATAGCGAAAACTTTGCCAAAATGGCACAAATGAGCCGCAATTATGAAAATGAGGTAAATTTCTATATGTTATTGAATTTAGATTTATGTT